TGTTTAAATTCAATGAAGACAATAATTCCAGAATTACCAGGTGATACCTACTGCAGGACAAGGACAAGAAAAAAAGGACCATATGAGGATACAGTGTATTTCTTTAACTGACCTAGATAACCAACCTCATCTGATCTTCCAGCTCCAAAACCTATCAGTGCCTCACTGCAGAAAAGGACAGAAAACTCAATCATCTTCTACAGAAAAAAGACATCAACACCCCCACGAATCCTAATCGTGTTGTTATTATGCCCTCACACCTTTCCCTTTCACAGGATGAGCAATTTCATCTCAGCAAAGGCCTCAGTTTTGTACCAGTCCCCAAGATGCTGGACATTCCCCAAACCCAAGTCAACCTCAACTGCCTTTACTGCAGGATTTGGCTCAGAGCACATTTTGCTGATGACTTTTCACCGAGAGTTGACCACCTGTTTATCGACGTCATTAAAAATACCAATCCTAAACAGAGCTGTTAGACTCCCCCTTCTGGCTGTTTTCTGTCAGTAGATTGCTTCATTAATCAATGCAACAATCAAGCTCCCAAGACCCTTTCCACACCCAAGAAACACAGTTCTAACCTCACCCAAGCAGAAATTTAGGCACTCCAATCTCTCAGGAATAGAGATGATATTTTCATCAAACCAGTGGACAAAGGCAGCGCTGCTGTGGTGTAGCAAAAAGACTTATATATCGAAGAAGCCTCCAGACAACTAACCAACACTTCTGCCTAACTGACACCCCCAGATGCCCCATCATCTCAGCATGCAACTGGCACACAACTCACATCTTTCTCAAAAGCCTTATGAAACTACTGCTTGAAGAGCTTCCTTCATATATCAAGGATACCAACCATGCTCTCCAACCTTTTGACGATTTCCGGTTTCAGGGCCCAGAATGTTACATTTTTACTATGAACATCACATCCTTATACACTGTCATTCCCCCACAATGATGGTCTTAAAGCACTCAAGCACACGCTGGACAAATGTACAGTGCTTGATCCACCCACCTACACTCTTGTACGTCTTGTGGAATTGGTCCTCACAATGAATGCTTTCTCATTCAATAACCTTTTCATAAGCAGATTCATCTCTACAGGCGAAACATTGATGACCGCCACATGCTTTAATGATCAGCTAAAACACTTCTTGCATCGCTTCATCAACTTCCACCCATCCCTCAAATATACAGTTAACTTATCTTCCACTACTTTTCCATTTCTAGACATAAATCTATCCATTAACCATCCAAGACTCTCTACTTCTGTCTACAAACCCACAGATTCACACGGCTATCTCCTGTACAGCTCATTTTCCCCATACATACTAAAAATTATCTCCCCTTTTCACAGTTCCTCAGTTTCCAATAACCCTGCAGCGATGACATGGATTTCCAAAACCAAGCCCTCAACTTCTCTTGACTTCACACCACCTGAGTATCCCCTCTGCTTCTCTCCTGCTCTCGCTTCCTCTCCACTCCCGACTTTTGTTCACTCATGCTTTGTAAGCTGCTGACTTCCCTCTCTTTCTCACACATGAAGAAGGCTTTCTTCCAGCTGTTTTCTTTTCTTCCCTTTTCAGCATGGATGAACCTTTACTTTTTCCTTTTAAACCAAATATAATACAACCTATAGTTAATTTTCTCTCATGGTAAACTCGAATGCCACCGAATTTATAGGAAATTCTCTCACTTTTCTAAAAAATACTTTATGTTTTGTGTCTTCCTGTTTTCTCCCCTCTCAAGTTCTGTTATCTGTCTTTTATTCTTTAGACACTCTTAATCATTTACACAGAACTAATTAACTAAGATAAACCAGAAGATTTTTTTGATCAGTGTGTCTCCCACCCAGCACAACTAAGTATTCTTTGGTTTGAAGCTCTATGAAGTGGAAATGTTAACACTTCCATAGTCATCTACCATAACCTGTAACAATATACTATCAGTTGTGACTTTGAGTTAATGGGAACTCCTCACCAATACAAACTTCTTCAAAGTCACACATGCTTAGTCTAACACATCAACAAACACATAAAAGACTACAACATACAGTAAGAAAAACAATTAAACCAACCTCACACCATTGTAAGGCTAAATATTGTTTTAACTCTGTAAATAAATAAGGTTTTTACTCTGAAACCAACCACTTTAATGCAGAAACATTATTTGCAAAATGTCAGTTTACATACAGTAAATAACGTTTGTAATTTAGGTTTCTAACACAAGTAAGAATTTGTGCTTACAAAATTTCCACATGTGGCTTAACACCAGAGAACAACATATAAACATTCTATGCCCAAAGAATCATTAATATTTTGAGATAATATTTATCTTTAATTAAGTATTTTAATAGAAGATGATGCAAAAAAAGTCTCACTGAAATGTGGATTTCTATTAAGCGTGTTTTTGTCATAGGTTTTCAAGGAGATGTTTACAGAATCACACACTGAAGGCAGGTACTCTCTGACCTTTATCTAAAACGGTGCTCAGCAAAAGGCTAAATTAATCATTTGGTTATATGTCTGGAACAGGAATGAGTAATACAGGAGATGTGACCTAGAAAGAGATGAGTTCAGCACGTGCGTCCCTCCTAAGACAATATATTCTAAGCACATATAGCCTAAGAGTATGCATTCAATCAAATAGTTGACAACACATTGCCTACAGTTGAGTGCAAAGCATCAAAAGACCTCTCAATACCAGGAGGCTTAATTTAACCTATGCTGCATGTCAACTGTCATATTGTCTTATCATTATGTTAATATTACATTTGTTTATTATTTTTACTATTTTTTTCCCAACAATTTGATGGCAGAACTAGTACCTTTCTCTACAACAGAGTTAATAACTAAGGTGAATTAATGAATTACGTGCTTTACAGGAGAGGAGGATTTGATTTTTTTTAGTATGGTCTCCATGAATATGCACACATCTATCAGATTTAATAGATTGAAACTGTCCAATCATAACTAACACCCAAAAAGTTCAGGTCATGTTCAGGTGTCAGCAGGATGAAGACAACAATACTTCAGGATGTTGATTGGATCCTTAATATTGTCTAACTGGACTGCTAAACAGTAGCAAGTGCAACAATGTTTTGCAAGCCATCAATGCATGCACAGTGTCATAGATGTTACATGCAGATAGCAGAAATACAAACAATACGTAAAACATTAGAAACACTGAGCTTGAATAAGTTACCCATAAAAAATTCTTAAGTGTTTATGCTTATACTCTGCATCTTTTTTCTTCTCTAGACAAAGTGGGGAAGCCATAAGAAAGGCAAACATAATGTTACAGTTAAAAGACTTGCAATTATGCAACAATATTCTGACATTTAATGCGTGTTTAACCCATTTGACAAAATCTATTCATGGGTCTCACACTCACAAGGGATTATACAGTATGTTGAAGACACTAGTAATAATTCACATAGAATAATGTGTACTATTTCGGTCACCATGTTACAAAAAATATTGTTGGTCTGGGGGGACCATTCCCAGATCCATTAATGAGATACTTTATACTGTAGGATTTAAATGAATGTCCTGTTCTGAGACAATAAAAGAACATTTTCACTTCTTGACAAAAGAAACCCATCAGACATCTTCAGAATCAATTGTGGAACATAGACCAGAAGAAACAAAAAGACGCTATGAGGAACAACATTTAAAAAGAATCACTTTTTACACAATGAGGTGTGGGAATCTGGTATAGCCCTGATGTCTTTAAAGAAGAAATTGAATGAGACCCTGTAGTCACTTGGCTACTTGTTAACTGATTAAATATATGGGCCAAAAGGCCTTCTCTCATTTATAACTGTAATGTTATCACATTAATAATAAGGTGAATGTTTCTCTAGCTTTATTCTTCAAAATGAGAAAGTCCTTTTTTCAGCATAGTCAGAGGCCTACAGTGAGGTGCATTAAAGAGCTTGAATTTGAATTTGACCCCCTTTACAATCTGGATTATTAATATAGTAGAGTCCGGCAAAATGACATGCATGTGTCAGTGAACACCACCAACAGAAGAATAGGTGTCCATAGACTGAAAAACTCTAAGACTAAAAAGGAATTTTACTTATTGCACATCCTTTCTGTATATATACATTTGGTGTTATTCATTTTGAGCAGGGTCCATTCCATATGAGCTTCCATCCATTTTCTTATCACTGTATCCAATACAGGGTCCCAGTAAACAAAAGGTTTACAAGACAGGATAGTCCCTGAATGGGATGCCAGTCTATCACAGGGCACACAAAGACAAACACATACACATACTCACACTTGGGCCAATTTTCCTAGAAGCCAATTAATCTAGCAGTATGCCTTTGGACTGTGAGAGGAAAAGGAAACCTACTTGAACATGTAGAGAGCACACAAACTTTATGCAGATACTGTAGCAAGCCAGGAATTGAACCCAGGGTTGCAGCGCTATGAGGCAGCAATGCTAAACACTGCGGCACTTTGCTTTCCATTAATCATTTAAGTTCTAAAATTGTTTTGCTATTTGTGATTGTCTTTTGCTTGAACAAATTTTATTTCTGTTGGGGATAATGATTGTATTGATTTTCTGCTGTTGTCACTACACTATAAACCTTCTCACTGGACAGGTTTTACATGTGATACATTCATTGTACTGGATTAACATGAGCTAAACAATCATACACTTGAAAAGTAACAGTCTGGGATTTTATAACAATTTGTTAAGAAAATGAAAATAATTTAATTTATTTACACAATCAAGACATTATTTTCAACACTATCAAAATCATAGTGTAAATCATATTATTTAATACTGTAATGACACTGCACCACTGCAATGGATATATACTGAATATGTATTCAAAGTAAATCCCCTTTATGTTTTCACTGATCATTCTTAAGATAAAGATAAGACATAATCTGTTGCTTGCAAATAAATCTTTAAAAAAATCAGGAGGACACATGTTTTTAGTATTGTGGAAGAGACACTTCTTTCACTAGTTTATAAAAAAAACTTACCGAAGAGCTGTTGATGAAAGATGAACTTTCCTGCAAACAGACCAGTGATTATGGCCATTAGCCACATCAGCACTTTCAGGACATTCCACCCTCCTCCAGGGTACTTATTCACAATGAAGGAGAAACAGTTGCCCACTACTATCATATGGGCTTCAGTCTGGCTGTGTGAAACAGGATCTTCAGCAAATATTAGGAAGTTGAAGAAGGTCACCAGATAGGCAACAATTAAACGAGACCAGGGATGCTGGAAATAATAACGGAATCTTCCGGCAATTTCCATTCCCGTTTCCATTTAGGCGACCAGTCTATCTATAGAGTAAAAGGGGAGAAATACAATCTGAGACTTTGAGAATGAACACATTCGGTTATTTGCTAATTTTATAATAGTTATAATGGCTAAGTTTATTATATGGATTAAAAATGTTCTGTTTGCCTCGCAATGTTTTATGATTTTGTATGTTTGCTATTCTTTTCAAAACAGCCAAATATAAGGAACAATATTAACAGCTTGGTTTCTTTTCAGGGCTAAAAACTATAATTAAACATCTTAAAACATCAATTCTTTATTAAATTAAGTATTTGAACATTTCCAAAAGTTGTGGTCATGGAGGGAACCTCATGCTGTTACTTAGGCAACTAAATCAAATACCCTGGCTGCTTTTAAGAACTAATTTCCTTTTCAAACTAAACACAATCTAATCCTTCCTTCTCTTGATTTGGCGTTCTTATACTCCTTTAATTATCTTTTAGCATTAAGTGAAGTACATGTCCTAATATTTATATTTTTAGACCAAGAAAGTTGGTTGTGTTTTTGGTACCTATCTCTCATATACTGTATGTTTTGACAATGTATCCTTTAGCAGGGCTTTCACAGCATTCTGATTTTGAGTAAACTAAAATAACACATTGTGACGTCAGTATATTTATGCCAAATTACAACAATGGAGGCTTGCCCAGGACCGTGCTATAAACACTTTCTAATATCAGAAAAAGGGCTATAGAAAGAAGAACAGTTGGGAGAATGCCATTTGAAGAACAGCCTAGTACAGATCTGTACTGCATACAACAAACTACTCAAATTTAAGGTGTTCACTTATTAGATCACCTTAAAGGAGGACATGCATGTTGTGGGCAGACTGGGCATTGTTACAGAAAATATCTCCTGTATCAAGTATTAGATGTTATTACTTCACCACACAAGTGGTTGGACATTTAGCCTTGGATTATTACAATAATCACTAACATAATGGCTAGGAAACAATATTTATATTTTTTAGAAAAATAATGGGATAAATATGTCATTAAAGTTCAATTATAGTTTTCCTTAACTTTTTTTCTTAGTTTCAAGTGTATAATTTTGTATATGTTTTGTATTCACAGCTGAAGAAATAATGTCCTGTTTTGATAATAAAATAGTAGACATTGTCTATTAAACTAAATACTGTATGCTTTTTCCAAGGGAATATCTGCTGTCCATTTGAATAAAAACTGGTGAACACCAGCAGATCCCATATTAGCTTTAAAAGGACAGCACAGCTGACCCTGCAGTCAGAAACTAAACATCACACAGTAAACATATAGTTGATTTCTTTAAATATTAGCCAAATATAGCAAATATTAGCAAGATACAAATGTCAAACATACTATACAAGACATGCAAAGTCGAAAATAAAGATTCATAATTTCAGGAAAGCAGAAATGGAATGGGATACAAATGTGAAATGAGAAAGGACAGCAACAGTTTAAAAATATTCTGCTTGAAACACGGAAACAAAACACATTCCAAAAGCAAGCAAATCACATGCAAAACAGTTGTCCAAATGGTTAAATAAATCAAATAAGAAAAAATATACAGTGAAACAAAGCACTTTAAGAATGATTCAAGTACAGTTAGTTCAAGTAAAAACGGGTATTAGAAAGAGAGAAAATTCTACTGAAATGGAAGACAGGTAATATGTTTTCAATATGACCACAACAAAACACTAGTTAACCATGAAGTAATGTCTCTCAGGCATAAAAATTGAAAACATTTAGAAAATAAAAGGATGATGGCTTCTGTATTAAATATTTCACTACAGTTTTTATCATGGGAGAAATCAACTGCATGCTTCAGGGTGAGGAAAGGTGGAGCTTTAGATTATATACTTTTAGCACAGAAAATACATGAGAGTTACAGGTACCAGAAGCACTTATTGTAAGATGAACACAGTTTTAGGGATGTTGTTCATAGGTCATTAGTAAAACTATTCCAACTGTGACAAAACTAACCCAAGTAATTGTAGACCAATAACCCTTACTTCCAATGTAAAATGGCAGTTGTATGGTAATAGACATCTGAGTCTGAACTACTGCTCTTCCTAATTTATATCATTAATCTAGACTCTGAAATAGCAATAGTAGTACAGTATAGTTAAAAGCATAGATTTTTAAGCAAAGGGTAATATGTTACACTTGTATGACTTCATTTAGAATATTTTTACAATTCTGATACAAAAACGATTGTTTTCCTTGAATTTCATTGTAGAGGAGCAACAAAATACATTCCCGGCCTAAAAGGAATATCCAACTTTGACAGTTTAAATGAACATAAAATTAAATTAACAAACCTAAACAACTGGATTCATACCAAATTACTATAAAAGGATGTGTAGCTCTCACTTAATCCCAGTTCTTTTCTTAACAATCTTAACTCATTTGTGCATTACCCTTGTCTATCTGTGAATATGAAGTTAATCCATAATGAACACAGTATCTTAGATTCTTAACACATATCTCTTGATAGTTAAATATGTCAAGAAACAATATTTTTAACATACCAAATATTGCACACATAGTTTAACTAATTGCACGATTGGTTAAATAAATGATATATCAATAATTTAACAATAACTATTCCTATTATTATTTTATGTATAGTAAGAGGGGTAAATAACAGTTTCTCTAAATCCCTCACATTATTTTTCTGTCCTTGGTCCACCTTAAGAAATGCTCTTTAGCTCAAGTGGCCAATAAAAATAGACAAACAGCTGACTAGCATTACAGGAAATGCATTTTCATTTTTTCAATCCAGCATACAACAGAAGTTTCTCGTTTCTAACAATTTCTGGGTCTTAAGGAAATTAAAAATATATTGTCAAGTGTTTAAAAGATTATTCCACATTAACACATGCAAAATGTAATAGCACTAATTTGTCACTTCTCTGTGTCCTAGGAATGAAGTCAGTCTTCCCTGCTCCTGACAGTGCTTTGTTTTATTATATTACCAAGGCAACAGCTGCTGGAATTGTCGAATTTTAAGGCTGAAGTCTATTTGATAACTGTCTGGCTGCAGGCTGGAGAAAGATTGTTCAGTGAATAACATATTTACATACTGAATACACCAACTTACCACACCACTTCTTCCTTCTTCAGGCTGTGCTCCGGGGACAAGAAGCCAGATCCCACTCGGCTTTTGGCAGCATCATCTTGCTCACTGAGCTGACAACATTAGAATTATTCTACTAGCAAGAGGAAATCATGTCTTGCAGTGTCACTAGACTGGCCATGTGACCTGTCTCTTTCTATGGCAGTCACACTCCCAAATCCATTAGCTTTGTAGTTGTTTTACAAGCAGCAGTGAGAAGGCAGAAAAGGCACTGCTTCGTCAGCATGGCTGGGTGTTCAGCTGTTCTGTGTCAGGGAAATGCAGAGCTGAAAAATGCACTCCCCACAGCACATACTATCAGCATCCAGTAGTGCAACAAACATGCTGGGTCATCCTGATGAAAATAATGTTTCTTCCAAGTGTATCTATGAAGGTAAGACAAAAGACAGATAGGGACCATTTTGAACATGGAGATGCAGCTCCATTACTTAGTTTTATTCATTTGAATCCTTAAATACTTATAAGTACCACCACAGACTTTTGCTTCTCTTGTGATATGTTTTCTTCTTTTTCTTTATAATATTTTGAATAAGATAGAATATTTTTTAAACTGGTTGAAAACAATAAGCATCAAACTATGAATTGCAATATTTGATATTTTAAAGCTATAGTTTGTTGATACTTCCTGATTTATTTTGCACACAATTTGTCTAAAGTTGAAAATCAAGCAGTGAAATACGTGTCATGAATAATTGTCAGAACGCGGATATGAAAGTAGTCTTGAAACTCAAATATGTACAGTATACAGTATAAAGAAATCCTCCTTTAAAAAACTCTAGAATGAAAGAGTATTTTTCTTTTTGTATTTTATTGACATTTTTAGGAACCTAATTAAATCAGTCAATATACTGTACTGTATACAAAATTAAGAAAGAAACTTACTTTAAACATAAAAACATTGAAGTTTTTATGTACAGTAAAGACACTTTGGAATTCTTCAAGTGCAAACTGCTTATCTCATACTAAACAAATTGCTCAGAAGTAGAATCAAGCTCTTAAGATTTTAAATAGTTCAAAATAATCAGTAACCTTTTCAGAAATATTATATTTCAGTATTAATATCATTCATGTTCAAACAGAATGTCAGCAATACTGTGATCTACCAAAAGGTCTTTTTTAAATATGCTTCTAGATGAGGAATACTGTATCTATAAATAAATCTCTGTAATAGCCTAAAAACATTTTGAACTACCATAGATTATGGACCAAATTTAATTAATCTTTTCTTCTGAAAAGTGGTTAGCCAGATAATTCACTCAGCGGAAGATATTATTGGAATCTTATAATCAAATACACAGTAAAAGATAAATATATCTGCAGCACCCTGCAAACCTCAAGGGATTATTGCTGTTGTCCTTTCAAAACCTACTTAAGCAATCCTTTTTCCTGTTGACAGTATTTAAAAATTATATTTATAATGTGTTGGTGATTGTTCATGGAGTGAAGTTTAACATATATTTTCTGGAATATAGCATTGAAAGAAAAAAAACTTCTGCATATGATCTCATAAACACCAGCTAAATGAGTAAAAGTTAAAAAGTTAAAACACTTGAAATTGTATTTCTGAATGGAATTTGCATTTCACCTCACAGATACATTTCTGTGTCAGTATGCACTGTATGTGTATATATACTGTAGCTGGCTTTGCAAAGCAATACTGTTCCTACTATGAATCATGTTTTGGCACATTCTCCAACAACGTTATTCACGACATTATATATTTAGTGTTATAACTTATGAGCATTGCTTGACAGAATTGTACCTATTTCAAAATAATATTTCTTCCACGTTTACTAATTTCACTACAACAAGAGGTCGATTAGATTTCTACTGAATTACAACAATTTAATCCACAGTGTATGAATTGTTATTTCTTTATAAATAAATTTAGGAATGTAGTAACGCTGGATGTACAACTGTGTCCATCATATTTTAACTTGTTTTACTGTTTTATTAGTTTTCCCATTGATTTGATAATGCATCACACTTTGCAAGTAACGACACGTTTCTGCAAGTACCCTACAGCCGACGATGACACAGCGAGAACAAACTGCCTATACCTTATAACAAGATTGGTGCCAGCTTAAAAAATGTGCTAGTTTTACCATCCCCTGGTCATTGATATCCCATAATGCAGTACAATATCTCTAGGTACAGATACGTAGTGACAAGAGCATGCGCAATTCTTGTTAAGAATAAGAGCCTCTAGCGGTTGTTAGAAAATGTTTTACTGGCCTTGTATAACAGGTGCTTAGTGCAGCTTTTATCTCACACTAATTTGTGAAAATAGATGGAATTTGAGGTATTCGGTACTTACTCTAACATTTTTTTTTCCTGGAAGTTATCATGTTGAATATTTGAACTGAGGCAATACAATATTTAACTTATAAAGTTAGTTGCATCAATATGAATGGATCAAATTAAATTTACAGCAAATTGGAATGATCCGCAAAAAACTAGACTTCCGTGTATAATGCATTTTTACACAAAAAATCAAGGAGTTAAAGACTAATGGCTTTATGTTCTTGCATTTCTTCAGGCGGTGTTGTTTTCCCTTCAGACGTGTGTCCATATGTTAATTCGACGTGACTTTTCAATACGAGATAATTCCGAAATCCAATCATTTGAAATTTTACATAAACCTTTAATTTTGAGTGAAATTTTACATTTTTATTGCATGCTGTGCATACTTATGGAAACATTCACTTTGCGTAGTGTTTGCTTTAATAGATATGTGATACGGAATTACAGGTTTTATGGAAGGTTCGAACAGCTAACATATCCAGACATTAACAAGCTCATGCATGCCCTAGCTAGACGAACAGCTCTGAACTTCCACCTCTTCTGAGCCCAGTGTTGGCCACGTGACTTTGGAGTCTCTGCTGCTGCCGGTGACGTCAAGTCGAAGCCGGTGTAGAATTGCTGTGTAGTTCAGTTTCTTCTTCCTTGTTCTTTCGCTTCTAATCAGCCGGTCGACTTCAGAGAAACAAATAATGTCCCATCAAACTGGCATTCAAGGTAAATTATTTTAAATCTGTGTCTTATCTCTTATCTTGTTAAAAAAAACATAATCGTGGTTAAAAAGAGGAAGAAGTTCAGTTACGATGTAATCAATACCGCTTTAGATTAAATGGAAGTTCTTGTTGGATAGCCTGTTGTATCTCTTTGCAAAGGAGAATAATATAACTAATTGTATTATTTTGTCTGTTGAGTTAGAATGAAAAAAAACGTACGTGAAATGAAACATGCTTGGTGATCTGCTATACGTGTGTTGTGGTTGCTCCATTAGTACTGCCTAGAACACAGGTCTTGTGCAAATGAAGTATCCACAGCACCTTCAGTAGAAAGCAGCTATGGTGAGACAACGCCTACAGAGGAATTTAGAAGGATATGACTGGGTCCTGGCCTTGCCAACAAACCGATGAGACAGACAGACTTACTTTTTCCCCCCACAAGTGTATCAGTTCCTCCCTTAAAAACCAAAACGTTTATGATTTTTATAGTGGGTCAGGAAATAAGTATGGAAAGGGGATTCTATACAGATCTCTTACTGTCGTGTCAATACAATAAAAGAAAATCACTTGTTTTATTTAGAAAACTAGGGTATTTGACTGTTGACTACATTATTTACCAGAAACAAAATCAATTAAATACTCTAATGCTAATGCATTTGTGTGCTTAATCAGGATGTTTGTGTAAAGCACATTCATAATTCTTATAAGGACAGATGCATGAAATGTTAATGAAAATTCATTGGCTTAAGTTTTTTTTGAGCACTTTGGATGCGCTCTTATGCCTTTATTATAAGTACTGGTAGACATACATCTCTTGCAACACACTGTTCCTGTCTCTTTACAGACAGTTCTCATGAGACTGTAGTTTTGTCTTCTGCCCTTGATTTTCCTCTTGTAAGATTGTTGTTCCAAAAATAAAGTTTATTTTGTTTCTTCATAAATTAAAATTAGTTTTGAGCTTAATTTGAAAATCCTTTAATTAAATTCAGTACTAAAACCTGATTGAGGGGCAAGGGAGCTGTCCACTCTTTCATTTGCCAGTATTGTTGAATTGTGACATCAGCAGTTCATTTTATTCTGCAATGTTTAAGTGTCATGCATTTATGTACATAAAAACAATGTGTACTTAACGTGTATAGTATCCTTCAATTAGTAGCTAGACGTGTAGTTTAATAATGTTAAAATTTTGTTTCAGCTGCTGAAGAAGTGAAAGACATTTTTGCAAATGCCAGAAATGGGAACTATCGGCTCCTCAAGATTGTGATCGAGAATGGTCAGTTCTAACTCTATGTAAAGTATGGAATTATAATATACTTGTGATTTCTGTTATGATATGTAATACAAATGCCAGCCTTTTCCCTTTTAGGACAACTGCATCAGTGATAATGTAAAAAAATATTATTCAGAAGAAAAAGTTAAAACCAAGACAACCAGTAAGTTAAAATTAATAAAACACGAAATCCCCAGTTACGATAGCACAAAGTCAAGAACTAAAAAAGGCTTTTATGTCATAACTGAATCAAATGAAAACATGTTTCTTCACTGAATGTTTTTATGGTTTCTCATTACCTGGCATATTCATACATTTGATAGCGTCAAATTAGAAGTGAAAGATAAAATGCTTAGCCGTGTACAAGTAACTAGTTTTCTTTCAGCATGTTATATTGTTGCATCTATTAGTATGTAAAAGTGTATTAAATATGTAGAAAAAAAGCACCCATATCCAGATCAGTGAATGTGGATAATAATGGGACTTGAAATTAGGTTTGATCAAGAAAATTTTTAGAAACTTTGTGACTTTTTTAACTGCACTTCCCTATTTTGCAGTGCTAAAAACCTGCTTTCTTCATTAAAAAAGTTTCCAAAATGTATGGCAAAAAATAGGATACACATGTGTAAATACAGTACACAAAATTGAATTATTTTTAATAAATACAATCCAATATGTATTTCTTTTTATTTAAAAAAATATGTGAAATAACAGGATATAGACCCATATAATCAAAGGCATCAGTGTAGTTATATTCTTAATAATTAAGACTCATGCATGTTCAATCTTTTTATTTCAGAAGAGCTGGTAGTCGGCAGCACCAAACAAGCTGTGAAGACCTGGGACAAAGAATATGATTTGTATGTTCTTCCTTTATTAGAGGATGACCAGCCATCATATATCCTCTACAGGTTGGACTCACAAAATGCTCAGGGATTTGAGTGGATTTTTCTAGCCTGGTCACCAGATCATTCACCTGTAAGCTATCCAATATACGGTAACGATATCCCAAAAAATGAAAGAATTGTTATTTTTTCATTGTACGTTAGAGACTCGAACCTGTGTTTAAGGATTTAATGTTGCTTTGCAAGAACTGAATATGGTACCAGAAAACTGCAGCTTTGTTCTACTGATGTTTCACAGTATTCACAAGTATTAGAAGACCCAGTATAGTCCACTTTTCCTGGCTAAGGCCATGGCTACTGATTATTAAAAATGAAATATAGATTCAGTACAGAATTAACTAAGTGTCTTATCTGTATAATGGGGTTGTGCTTGTCGCAGCTGCATGTGTGCACCTATGACTCCTGCTGGCCATACTCAACACTGTGTCTCTACTGAACTGTCGTGTGACCCTTTTGATTGTCTCCTGTCCACAAGAATGCTCAGTATTTAAAATCTTATTTTGCAATGGAAGCAAACACTCACTCAGTTCTTCCAAGATATTTGAGATCTGAACTAAATTGTGTATCTTAAAGGGTGTTGGACAGTGTTATAATAGTAAGCCTTGAATTTCTGTCAAACCAGGAATGTAAAAAAATACATGAGAAAATATGATTTTCTAGAAACATACAATATATATTATTATTTAACTTTAGTGTCATGCTTGTGAAGCTGTAATGAGACTCAGGTAACATGGGCCTACTTTACAGTTGTATTGTACAAAAACTGTCTTGAAAAACAGTTAGACCTCACATTTTAAAATGTCATATAGATTGTCCCTTTTTCTCTTCTCCTAAACCGTTTCCCCAAGCATACTGTAGAATATAGGTTTGAGAGAAGAACTAAATTCCGGTACCTTGGGGCTAACTGTTGTTCAGATACTTTATTCCTTTATTTAAGTAGATAAGCCACTTGAGAAAAAATTCTCCTTTATAGCGGTGACCTGGCCCAGAGTCTTATACCATTGTTGCACATAAGAGAAAGCAGTGGAAGTAAAAAAAAAATCAATAATATGAAATTGCATAATATAACACAATGTGTCAGCTTAACAAGCGCAAGTGTCAGTCACAAAAAGATGTAGTCTTACAGCTGAAAACTCCCTTAGATATGAAAGTGGATAGTATCAGTTTACTCCACAGCAGCAGCAAACTGAAAAAGCTAGCATCAGTTAATAATTGCTCTTGAGATGTTGTGATAAAAGTAATACATCTTAAACCACTGGACTCTGGAGAGTATTGAAATTATTAGGATATAAAAGTGTTTTTTTCCAATTAATTATCTTTACATTAATTTAAAGTAGTGAAGAATTTTATGTCATCGGGGCCAATTAATGAAACAATAAAAAATACAATAATTGTAGTAGCAGGCACCAGTGAAAACTGTTTTACCATCCTACAGTTCAGTTTCCCCAAAAACAGGTTTAGAGGCCAGTCTGTAAAGAAAACCACTATCATCAGTAGGAAGTATGGACATTGAAACTAGCAAATGCCTAGAGCAACATGTAATGTAAAACTGTTCCTATAAAGGAAGTCAAGTTTAGCCTTAATATTAGCCTGTTATTTATTTCTGAGGGTAGGTATTTAGAAAACATGACTTGCACTACTGTTGTTTTGTTTAAAAGGAAGAATGTTGTGACCATTATTAAGGGAGCAGCTTGATTTTGAGTAGCATACATTTAGTTTTATCAGAGTTTAGTTGAAGATTATGTTTGTAGAAAGCTAGTACGAAAAGCATTGTATTGATACCAAGCTTTCAATGTATCACTACAGAGGATAAACTGTAGGATAAAAATGGTCTCATTGGTAGAGGTGGATAGTGTGTAAAACCTGAGCATGTATGTAGATTTTGTAGATGGGTGTAGATGATATCCGGTTATCAGGATAGAATCTTTTTGGAGATTCTGAGTGACAGATTTGCTTCCCAACCTCTTCCAGTCATCTACTGCATGTAATTAATTCTGAAATCTTACAAGGGAGTTCATATCAAGATAAATACTATGCATTTTTTCAGCAGGACTCAGTGAACAGAAAATAATAACCAAGATAAATCTACAAAGATAATAGAATCGTTTTTGTTAAGTCATTATAATATCATTGTGAACATTCAGCTTCCAATAACCATATTCATACTGAATAATAGATAAAATTTAGTTGCTGTCTAAAAAGAGCTTAACTTCTTTTTTATTTTATTTCCACATATCTGATATTTATTTGTAATATGTTCTTGTTTCAGGCCCTTTGATATTCATAAATGTGTCATTGTTATTAGAACTTTTATTAGAACTCACAAAATAATAATTGTAAAATAAGTGGCAAATATTGTAGTGATATAGTTTACTATGGAGTAATTTGCTTCTCAACTGAGGGATTAAGTTCTAACATGTTCTTGTATATGTATCATATGTAGTTGCACTCCATGTTGAAGTCACCATCTCATACTTACCTTAGCATGTCTGGTCTACACGTACATCACACTAACATGGGACAATAAGTCTTGCTTCTTGAAACCAGAAATTAAGGAATTGCAGTTTTTTTTATATCATGATACATATGCAACAGTGTGAATTAGAGCTGTAGGTCCCACTGCACTGCACACACAATACAAAAAGAGAAACACTGTCAATGTTTTAAAGGAATATCATGCAGTCACTGTCCTTTCAGTTCTTTAGGGTTATTGAAAACTTCATTAATTGGAAAAAATAGCACCTGAACATTATTTGCTTTCAACAGAAGTTTAGATTAAGTGAATTACAGGGTAAATGATGCAGGTAAAACAAAACAAAAAAATTCAAAACAACTGAAGGGATCACCAAATTTATTACATCTTAACAGGTGCGACAGAAAATGCTATATGCTGCTACAAGAGCTACTCTGAAAAAAGAATTTGGGGGTGGACATATTAAAGATGAAATATTTGGCACTACAAAGGTAAGTAGGCAGTTGGTTTTATGGAATAATTATATTTTCTCTGTGCGATTTACTGTATAATGAAACAAAGATGTACTTGAACACTGGGAAATTTGATATATTTGTGTGAACTTGTTATGAAACACTGAATTTTGCATAAGGTAACATTACATATCCATTATGTATACAAGTTTGTCCTGACAGTTATATAGAGCAGTTAAATATGGGATGGTTTTGTAACACCATTAATTTTTATTACATTTATGTTTGTCCATAGATTATCCAATCCCAGGGTTCATAAATTATTTTAAGGTTTGAAGAAAAAGACCCCTATTTTCAAAAGCCTGAACATCTGTACTGATGCATAGTAATGGCCTAAAACTTTGAGGTCTAACAGATTGTCTGTTTTGACTCTGTCTCATGTAAAAGATGTCCTTGAGACTTACAATTACAATCATCAAAAATTGTCACCTAAGAATTGCTGGTGTATTTATAGTCTGTCAGATTTCTAGAAGCTAAACCCCATATTTTAAGGCACTGAACCACGAGAAAGTAAAAAAAAAAACACTTTGGACAGCCAAATGAATAGCAATGCACTAATTGTCTGGCAGTGCCACTTGCAATACATTTTCTCTCAACAACATGGAATTTACACTGACATTTTTTGAAAAAGAGTTTTTCACTGTTCACTGATAAATAATTATCTTTCTTAATGTATTCACAGTGCTCTTCTTTATCATTTCAGGAGGAGATGTCTTTGAGCGGATATAAAAAGCATCTGACATCTCAGGCTGCTCCTCTCCCTCTGACAGCTGCCGAAGAGGAACTGAGGCAAATAAAACTTAATGAGGTCTTTTTTTTTTCATTCAGCTGCTGTATTTAATGTGAATAATGTGCATAATTACTTTTAAGATTTTTTAGTATTATGCTAGGGAATGTTTGTGTTTGAGCTTGGCACAAATGCTTAATTAAAGGAGGTTCTGTAACTTGTGTAATGTTTATGTTTATTTAAACTGGAAGCGCTACAAGATCAGAGACACTATCAATCCCATAATTAACCTGGGGGATGATCATATCCTTTGAGTTCTGACCTTAAACAAAGAATGATGAAAAGTGTGTAGAAAACAGTTTGAAATGAATAGGCCTAGTCCTACAGGTGTCATAGAGCCCAATGTAAAAGTACTGTAGTTTTGGTCACATAAACAAAGCATAGACTCTCATGTTTACATACATGGGCACTGTCCAAAAAATGACATTTTGTAAATTAGTTAGGCGATGAGTAAAGATGTGTTTATGAAGTGCAAGTGGGAAAAAACAGTTACTTAACTTCAAAAGTAATTGTGAACTCCTACATGGTCAAATGGATGTGTAGGTACTGTATGTTGGTTTAATGAAACTATCCACTTTAATGTTGCTTTTGCTTTCCAGTAGTGGAGAGAAATACAATTTACAGTGGTGAACGGTGCTTTAGGATAAGCATGAAACTTAAATGCGATGTTTTCTTATATAAAACTCTTGCACAGGACAGCCATTCCCTTTTACTGCCACCTTAAAAATGAATAATTAATTGTTTTCATTCCAAAGAAGAGACATCTATAAAAGTTGATGAGTGATTAAAATTCAATACTACATATTGATTTTGCCTACAGTAACAGCAAAACTGGTTATTTTGCAGATTAGTAGGAGACAAATGTCTCTGTTGCTCAATTTAACCTTAATGCTTCATATAATTTGTGTCATGGTGGGTCCCATGGTTTTGGAATCTGCCAAAGCTTGGTTATCTTGGGAAACCAGTGTAATGAAAGAGCAGTTGTATGCCTTCACCTTCATTTTTTTGTAAGTAAAAAAGTGACTAAAATAACCAAGTTTTTTTTCTGTTTCACAAAAAAAATTAGGTCTAGATGTAACTCTTAAAGGTGTCTGTGGATCTCTAGGTCTCTTGGTAGCCCTGTTGTTCTCTGTTTATGTGTAAGTTACTGCATGACATTAAAGAGTTGCAAAATATGAATCATGAAAGAACATGAAAGCTGCAGTTTTTAATGTAACTTTGAGACAACTGCTGCATCCATTCATTTATGTACTATTCATAATTCATAAAGTACCTTTTATATCATTGCTTATATTGAAAATTAAAGCTCATTTACACTTTCTTTCTAATAGACAATTCTGACACTAACAAGCATGTTGCTCCATTCAAAACCATAATTTATTTTAGCAGGTAAATGTGTTGGGGAGGATCTTTTCTGTATTACTATAAACCAATAAATTTATTCATACATTACATTAACATTGTAGTAACATTGATTAATGTTAATCTGATTCATCGAAAGAGTTGGGGAGGCTTTAATGTGACTTTGTCTACTGAGTGCTTAGATGAAATTGATACTTCTATAAAGTAAAAGTGGATAAGGCAGCATTAACAGTATCATAGGGAGCATAATTGCTTTTTATTGAGAAAAAAAGAAACAAGTAGGTACTTGAGATAAACTTTCAATCTTCTCTGCTCAATCCTCATATAAGAATATTATGGAACTTATATTGTGCTTTTCTGAAAGTTATTCAAACTTGGTAGCCAATAGTACCTTAAGGTGGTGTTATATCATTACTTTAGTACAATTAAGGCACTACAATGTGAGCTTTCAGGGACTTTGCTTTAAATTTAAAGAGTTTACAGACATAGAAAATAAAGGTCTAAAATTGTTTATATGTGCCAGGAGTGTTCTGGCACATATAAACAATTTCATTTCATTTCATTTAGAATGAAATGTTTGTCCTTTTACTGAAGCTTTTGTTATTCAGTAACAATAGATGTACAGTGCAGGTGTTCGTCTGTATCATAATTGGAATGTATGACTACACTGAACTTCATTTATCTAGATTAAACATAAATTGACATTTATTTGTTATTGACTTTGACCGTTTACAGGACTTCTCTTCTTTGTTTTCTCAGGTGAAAACGGATGTCAGCGTAGACACTAAGCAACAGACATTGCAGGGAGTTGCCTTTCCAGTGCAAAGAGATGCAATTCAAGCTCTGGAACAATTCAGGGACAAGAAGCTTAATTATGTTCAGCTTGTAAGCAATGACCGTTTACTCCAGTGCATCACTTTTCTTTTTTGTTCAAAATGTTTCACAAACCCAAGTTACTGCTCATGTTATATCACCTGAATGTGCAATCAGCCAGTCCATAATTATTGCTAATTCATGTCTGTTTATCAGTAATACAACTTTGCTTGTAGAAAAGGAGAAGAAAGGAACCTTGAAACCTATACTGTAAAATAAAATGCTAGTATATAGTAAATATCTAAATACATCCATAAATAAAGTGTAATGTGCTTCTATATTAATGCTTTTATGGAAGAGGAATACAGCATTTGTTCACATGGATACTCTTTCAGACCTTACACTGTGACAATGGTATTTTCAGGAAACTTAATAAATGTTTTCAGGGCTTTATAAAAATGAAAAGGTCTAAAAGAGGCAATATGTTATACTAGCATTTTATATTTTTATTAAGACTTCAAATAATTTTCTTCAGATATCAAGTATCTTCTATTTTGTGAAGTGTTTATAACTATTCCATTGAGCATTTGTTTGTTTGCAATCCCTAGGAGATTGATTTTCAAAATGAAACCATTATCTTGGCAAGCACTGCCCCTACAGAGATTAAAGACTTGCCAAAGAGGATACCAAATGGTTCTGCCCGCTACCACTTCTTCCTCTACAAACATTCCCATGAGGGAGATTACTTGGAATCTACAGGTGATTATCTGTCTCATCCTTTTCACGAAGTTGTATTATCAAATGTTTTAAAAGCTTAGTAAAGATTAATAACATGATTTAATTCCAAATTAAGTTTCATCATTAACTGTTATTGTTTACACCAGTAACTCAAAACCTTACTGTTTTTGGTTTCCTTGGAGATTTTTTTTTTTCTATAGAGACTTATCACAAAAGTTTTAATGCAGAATGTGTCAAATCTGGATTAGGAGTCACAGGTGATTAATGGCAGTCCAGGGAATGTAAATAATGTTATCGCAAGTGCTATAAAGACATAATTTTTCTAACATGCACATAGATTAAACTTCCAGGCATTAATATAATACATATGCTGTTTTTCCCCACATCCTCTCAGAACCTAAAGGACAGCAAATGTTTCAGTAGTCATTAACCTGTTGCAAATCAGTCAGTCGTGACAGATGAAATCCTAAACATGTTTTGTGATACTTGTGAGGTTTCAAGGAGATGTTGTGCAGTGGGATTTCTTTGCATCTAAGACTTTGATAAATAATTTCTGCATGTTAAAGATGCTGCAAAAATGGGGTGGATTTTGCACAAATGAGGTCTGTCAAATATCAAACAGAGATGTACTCTAAAGCTGTTGACCGTTATTGTATTTAAAAGTTTGCCAATTTATTAGAACTCTGGAAAGCGTCTTTTTAGCAGTCGCAGTCGGCAAATCTTTTAAATATACCTATCCCCCACATTTGGCCAATGTGCAAAAAGGTGACGGATTTTAGAGTGTGTGTTTCATATGCATTTTATTAAATTTAGAAATGCTAACACATCCTTTTTAATTCTGCAGTCTTCATCTACTCAATGCCTGGGTACTCTTGTAGCATCCGGGAGAGAATGTTGTACTCAAGCTGCAAAAATCCCTTAATTGACATGGTTGAAAACAAACTAAAAATTGAAATTATTAAAAAGGTAAGGAAGGAAGTATTTGTATATATACATTTTGATTTTAAGTTTGATAAGTTCTGGTGTATACACTGTTAACTTAATACTGCTGAGGCTTGAATTCCAGATTCAGGTCCTCCTGACTTTTTTAATTGGTTTCAGTTCAGCATCTAGCAGAGATATTAAATTAACCTACAGTATATTTATAAGTAACCTGAAAACTCTTGTTGTACAAGTTGTTAATAAATTGTTAATAAAAAGAACAAGTGACTTAAAATTTTCACCTTTTTAGGAGCAGAAACCTTTTTTTTTAATCTTGCTCACTCACATTATTCATTATTGGGGCTCCTATTAGCCAACTATGTGCCCATCTTAAAAACCAGCAGATTCTGGTATTACCTGGACCAGATTTCAGTAGAAGCAAAACATTTTTTTTTATTCACTACAGTTCAGATAAACCTTTTCTATTTTTTGTGATCATATATTTTTTTCAGTTTATTATAACCCCTGTTCCTTAGGAGTTTCATGAGTATTTACTGCTGTTTTGTAATGTGACAGAAATTTGATAATCCAAGTTTGGTGTTAATTGACAGCAACTTGTCCACACAGTGGTGCTTTATGGATTGGCCTTGTATCTTCTGACACTCATTTAACAGAGAATGCTAATAAAAATGAAAAATCTTTTACTGGTTCACAGTCTTACATTTCTCTTAATTTAGCCTGTTCCCAATTAAAACTAAATTAAAATGAACTCTATGATAAACTTGGGAAAATTTTCTATTTTATCTATGATTATTGCACTCAGAGTAAAGACAATGTGTTAAGTGCTTAGTTTCTAACATTTAACTAATCAAATAACTTTCTCTGCATTAAATTAGATTTTCAGGAAACTCAACTAGAAACTCAACTAGAAACAAGTTTAGTACAGAATATGAACAGGGTATATTTAAAACAGGTTAAACACTTTAAGTGGTACTTTCAGTTAGCAGCTTGTAAAATAGTTGTTCACCTTGTAATAGTGTATCATTCCCAGATCCTTTCATTATTTGTGTCAATGTGTTTTAAGATGGAGATCGACAGTGGTGATGAACTGACTGCTGACTTCTTGTATGAAGAGGTACACCCGAAACAGCATGCACACAAGCAAGCATTTGCAAAACCAAAGGGCCCTGGAGGAAAGAGAGGAGTGCGTAGGCTGATACGAGCACCTGGGGACGATGAGACAGAGGACGACTAATTCTCCTTTCATTCACAATCAACAACAGAAGACATTCCATAGAGTAAATGCAAATTAGGTCTAAGTTACCAGCCTTTCTTTTTTTAGTCTCTTGAAATCAGCCATAGGTTTAAAGAACTACCTGTATACACTTCTTTAATAAGAAACACTAATATAATAGGTATAATCTTCCAAGCTACTGTTTTTTTTTCTTGACATAGTTTACTTTGTTATTGAGGAAGAACAGAGGGATGTATAAACAAATGCTTGCCACATTTAAATAAAAGATCATGAGAATCTGCAAATTCCTAGTTTAAGTCAATGAATAGAATAAAAGCATACTTCAGTTTTGAAATAATGCTAGACCCAAAGAATATGCAAATTAAACTGCGGTAAATGCATTGTGAAATATGGCCCACCCTTTTTTTCCAGTTAACGTAGTTGGAAATTAATTCATGCAATCAGATTTATAGAGAATTTTAGTTGAGATTTTAGGCCAAAAATATATACAGAATCTGGTATTTATATATAAATGAATTTGAATGAGATTTGTACTACACCACCACTAAGTTTACAAAAATCTATTTTTATAAGGTGAAAGTGGCATCCTAGTTGTTACTCTTATAGCTGTTTGTATAACTGAAGAAAAACACCAAGCAATAATGATTTCTCAATTCACATTTAGTAATCTGTTTTCAAAGGTTTTTCCAGTTTTGGTATCTACCATATGGATCAATTATAACTTTATTGAAAGAAGTACTATGAGTCGTGAAAACAGTTTGATAATATATTTTTTCCATTTCTTCTATCTACATTATTTTGTCAAGTTTACAGAGAATCTTATGAAATCTGCTGCACATTTGCACTTGGTGTGGGTGTAATTAATTAAAAGTATCAAAGGCATTCAAATCATAACAGGAAAATAGTCTGGAGTTTTCTCAGCAAATACACACCACTATTTTACAACTGTATTTGGAAATACCTTTTATATTTAAATGCAATTATACAAATATAGAAGTTTTTCCAATTTATTTTTATGTCTTAGAATATGTCCGAATGTTAAATTTTAAATGGAAGTTTTAACTTTGTAAGAAATTGGAAATTGATGTGAATTTCGAATGTCTACCATGAATTCATTTCTTATCCTACTGTTAAATCTACAGTTTCTCACTAAAAAGAAATAAAACTTCTTTGGTGACTGCATGTAGTCTTCTGGCCTTCTATGTACTTATTTCATTGTTGCTTTATGAGAGGAAATTGGGGATATAAAACGATATGAAAGTTCTGTAAAATATGAGAAAAGAAAGTGTTGCTGGAAACAGATTGTTCACATTTTTCTAAAACCTACCTAAAAGCAGAGGCTTTTTTTCCACACACAAATATGATATCGGGCTAAACTGACATTAAGAGTAAGAAATTATAAAACTTATTTCCACTGTATACAAAAGTTCTCACAATTGTTTTAGATGCAGTAATGCCTGGGGTCTGAGGTTTAGGAGATCCACAGCAATTACAAGAAAAAAAAACTATAAAAAATCAGTTCATGAAAAAGCAGTATTTTTTAAAATTACAACTCCAGCTGTTAGTTTCAAAATGTACTGTACAGTATAAATTCAATGAGCATACAAGGGGGTCCACAGAATGTTTACTAAGGTTATCTGTCAATGACGCTGATCATATCTGACTTTATTACTTCTTGTATCCTACCAGCTGCACTAAAATACATGTGGTTTGATTAACCCTCAGTCAGTTAAGGAGCATGGTTTCCCTGCTCCATTCTGTGAATGAGTATTTCTTGTTTCAAAAATCTCTTTTGCAAAAATTACCCAAGTTAGAAACAGGTCAGGCAAAGTGGTATCATCCAAAAGAAGGTAGAAATCTAAAAAGACAGTTTTGATGGATCATGTCTCTTCTAAACAAATTAAACTTTATACATAATTAACTAGTCATTGAGAATGTCGAGCCAAGAGCGTCGAAAACATACATAAAGTGCTTTCCAAGACCACTTAAAATATATTCTCTTGTCATTGCATGTTTCATTTACACGTTTTTCATGTAACTTTACCTGGCAGATTGGACTAAATTTAAAAAAGGTTTAGGCTACAATGTAAAAAGAGAGAGTCCGTCATAGTGCCTTGCTAAAGTATTCACCTCCAAAGGTTTCCACAGATTGTTGCTGTCTGGAGTTTGCTATTGTAATCTTTTCAACTGCTGAAAATATCTGGAAAAAGCCTAAAAATTAATAGCCTGATTAAAAATGATAACAGTATAAAATGTGCTTGTGACATCAGTTGTAGATTGTTACGGGTTTGCTCGGGGTATATAAGATGTGTCTGTGATGAACCTGAACTTGAAGTCCAACCATATGTACTACAATTATATCTTCCATAAATATTTTTGGGTTCTAGGATGCAATTAAAACATGAGCTCAAAAACAAAACATCAAAAGGAATCATTTTATCCTAATACAATGCACTTGTACAGTTCTGTACTTAATCTAAAAAATGTCCAACCATCCTCATGAGGGAGTTGCCTGAATATCTTCAAGCTGTTCATGTACCTAGAAAAAGTAAAAAGAATTTAATTAAAAAATATATATATTACGTTCCTACATTATACTACAAACGGTCCTGGGACTCAGTTTTGATTCAGGCTTTGAGGGGAACTTGTATAACGTTTAGGTGGGTAGCTGCATCAGCATGCGTAGGCTGCAAAGGAACAAGTAATAGGTTTATTCCATGCTGAAAAGAAAAGAAAGGAAACACATCTGAAACAATGTTTTCTTTCTTCTCTTTTCAGCATGGACTAAACCTATTACTTGTTCCTTTAAAGAAAAATAATTTTATCAATATTAAACAAACCCTGTTTACAACTGATCCATGAAATATTTGACACAGTACCCTTGCAGAACAACCCAAGGAACAAAAGAACAGCATTACTCCTTCCAACCAGTGGCTACACTGACCAAAAATTGTCACCAAGATATATGTCACTGAAGATTTTTGTGGGAAATCAAAAAAATTAAACACTGCAAAAACATTATTGTAGACTGGATTAGTGGTACCATACCATTAAAAACTTACAAAGAAAAGTTGTGGTGTACAGCAGTATGCTGAACAGTCCAATGCACAATAGCCTTCGAAATGACAAAAAAGTTTTAGGTTTTTAAGAAATACCAGACATAATATCTGTTTCCAGAAGTCTTGTTTAATTAATATAGCCTAATACCAACAATTAGTTACTAGGAAGTGACTAAAAGTTAAATAGAAGTACAATACATTTTATAAACAAGCGACACTGAAACATTGTGTCTCTTTTCTTTTCAGCATGGAATAACCCTTTACCTGATCCTGAACAAAAGAAAGCCATTTACCCCAGTGTCCTTTTATGGTTGTTAATACCTTCCTTATGTGAGGAGCTCATTCATTTGTTTCTTGAAGAATATCAACTTATGTGATATGGCTGACTATCTTCAAACCAGTGTCTCATGTGAGGACTACACTCACGACATTAGAGATTAATGTGTTACTTAATGAGATAACAAGGCAACCTCACATTTCTAACCCAAAGTTAGTATCAAGACTACAAACCTCTTTCATTTCAGGCCTTTTATTTTTTCTCTCATTGAGACACTGGCTGGCAAGGAAGTACATATTCTCTACTGATGAAAAGTCCCAATCCTTTATCTTCTTGTCCACAAATTCCTCCAGTGATATCTCCTCATCTTCAATTTCATCTTTCCAACTCACCTTTAAAAGAAGAACACATTGAAATTAATGTCAAGAAGTAAAAAGTTTTATCATTTCCCTTAATTAACCCATTTGCATTTAGCACAGGTAAAATGTTTCTAATGATACCAGACTGCAACCTCAGACAGAAGGAGAACTGAACAGCATTACTTGAAGTTGAATATTTTCAGTAAATTACATTGTAAGCCTTTTCTATGCCAGATTAACTTTGACTTGTTTCCCTAAATCTTAGGCATTCAAATTTGCAGTTGACAGATCATATCTTAAGTTTACCTAAAAGACCATTCTGTAATGTTAAGAGTTGTCAAACAAAAGTAATAATATAACCATAGATATAAATATAAATGGAGATTGAGTCTGTGCCGAAAAAACAAACATACTGCAGTACTGTTATGCTTAGCAAACGTTGTCATTGTTTTCTCTTTAAAGGTATAAAGTAGGAGCTTTAAACTACTGGTACTGAAATGAATTTGATTCAGAATAAAATTTGTAACAGACCTTTATACAGTATGTACAATATATTATAGATACAGTACACATTATATAATGATTTTATTTTAAGAAATATTATGCATGTTCATTTCTCCCCATCAGTTCCCACCACTTCAGTTACTTACACTATATTTTTCAAAACTCCTGGGATAAAAGTACAAAATTCTAATGTGAAGTTAAAGCACTTAATTACTGTAGAACTGAGGACTGGCAGTGTACTGTATGTAATGTGGTTCTTGGGAAATCTCAGAGGCTGAACGGGTAGATACTGTAAGAGGCAAGTGCGGTGTCTGAGATCCTGCAATTGAGTTTAGTGATCCAGTGAGTTAGCCATCTATACAAAGGAGTACTGTGTACTGTGGTAAAACTGATATTGAGACTCCTAGATGCTACAATTAAGTGAAGCTATATAGCAAAAAGTGCAAGTCAGTTATGACAAGACACAGGGGAGGACATGTGTGCTTAATAAATTATTAAGTGTTTTGTGAAATTTATATATATATAATATTGATAAATTGTACAGTATATATAATACATATAATAAAATTGATATACTGTAAATCAATGTAATTTCTTCTGTTGTTATAAAGTTGTTATTTTTTCAAGGGGTGGGGATTCTTAATATTTTTGATAAAGTTTCATCCCTTTCACATGTCCAAACATATCCAGTTACTGATTTCATTCTGAAATCTATCTCTTTTTGTAAGAGGTCTGTCTTTAATACAAAGCAAACATTACAACAACAAAAAATAAAATTAGCTTTTGTTATCCGAAAATATCTGATTTTATGGTTGATGAGCGTAAAATTTAAATTCATCATGTGAAACCCAAAGGTAAAGGAATGGTTTTATAGTTAGTGTTACTTCACAGAAAACACTTGTGTTATAATCCTCTAAATAAAGTGAAACGTTTTTTATTTATAAGCAGTTTTGTCACATCAAGCTCATATCCTGTGATGTGTTTGGCACAAATTCATAAATAATTTAAAATTGCCGGCCAGAATACAAAATGTTCAAGAAATCAGATTACAAGTAAATTATGTGGGGAACTTGAAAAGTAAATGCATTTATTATTACAGTACTGTATATTGACAAAGAAATAAAAGGTATGCACAGTATCTTCAGAAACTTTTCACCCTGTGATTTTCTTAAACACCCCACTGCCTAAAAAGTCATGTCATAACTGTATTTGCCATTAATTTACTATTTGTGACCATCACAAATGAGATATGACATTTCAAGGGTGTTATCCTGGATAATATCACATACAAGTGTATGGAAAGAATTTATCAAATGTAAGAAATGATGAAAATGAAAATGGTTTACCAAAAACTTGGGATCACGGTTCTCATCAACTGGAGGGTGTCCAGATATGATTTCAAGCAAAACCTGTCACAGTTGATAAATTCATTATAATGAAGTTATAAGCATTAATGTAGCAGGAAAGATGTTAATGTTGTGATCGGTCAAAACTATATCAGAGTAAAATTTCAACATTTTTTGGAGAAAGTAGAAAAGAAAATCAGAAATATACTATTGAAATAATCTGTAGAATTATTTTAACATTAGTTTTAGAAACGTTTCTAAGCTTTGAAAATCTTTTAAATCTGCAGAGTGTGGTGGTCGCCTTTTCCATTAATAATACATACATATTAACAAATGGAAAACAACCATTTGACTGGAGTCAAATCTTTTATCATTCTTGATCCACTTTTTAGATAACATTTGTGACAGGCCTCTATTGTTTAAAATAAGAGTACCTAGCCATATGGTCTCTAGCACAGAAGATAAATTTGAGCTCCTGTGTCAGATGGAGGTCAGTCACCGCTTAGATTTATGCAAAAGTCTTACAGCATTCTTAGTGATGGTATACAAATGAGCAGAAAGCTCAATACCCTCTACTCCAACGCTTAAAAGTGTTTAGTTTGGCATTACTGTGAAATCTCAGCCACAGTCAGAACCTCTCCTAGTCAAACCGGCGTGATTAACAGGCTCATGAGTTAAAAAGGCAAACACATGACCTCATATTTTCAAACTGAAGGAATAACAGAAAGCAAACATTTCAAAGAAAAATCTTACTTACAACACCAAAGCTAAAGATATCTGACTTTGGAGTGATCTCTCCTCTTAAGGCCTCCGGTGACATATAAGCAGTAGTGCCCACAATCGTTTCAGTCATTACTGTCGAGGTCAGTTTCGCTGAGGCACGTGACAGCCCAAAATCTGAGATCTTTGCCACAAACATTTTATCCAGCAAGATGTTTCCACTATCAAACACCAAAACACAACATTCAGTCTACTGACAGTATCTTTGCAAACTAAAACACCTTCTTTTTTACTTGGGTTTATCTTTACAGTAATAGTATTTAACTGTTACAATATCTGTTTTTTTAATTAAAACACTTAACTAATTTTGCACCGATTCCCTTAACTTTCACAGAAAAGGTTTAACATAATCTTAACTTCATAGAGTTAAGGTAAAATATACAGTACATGAAGATAAGATTATACTGGTTTCCTATAAATCCTTTTGATGTTTTCTGTCTGGATAAATCTGACTTTTTTACTTCAGCAACATCTTAAGGTCCCTTTAATGTATCATGCTTCATCTTTGCATACAACAAACAATGGAGGCTGGCTTCAAACAAATACTGTAAAGCAGAACAAGAATGTAGACTGGGATGGGAAGTGAAAGACTGCACGTCATGAAATTGTATTATGCCAAAAAGTGCAGACCACCTTCAAGGCAGTAAGCCAATGCATCCAAACTCACTGGAAACAATACAAAAGGTGTGTGTTTTACTGTCTACTACATAAAGTTAACTTATAGAGGCCAAGTTGTAAAACCAAAAGAGATGGATAAACTGGGTCTTAGCTTGCTAAATGTATACAATTTAGATGTAAGCTCAGTAATCTAAATGCAATAAAACTAAATTCAGCTAATACACAAATACTCACAACAGCCATACCAATACTACAGACATTAGTTATACACCTAAACTGAACAGTCTGTATCTGTAAATCTGTAAAGTTCAGGGTAATGGTCTTGCATTATTATATTTCAAAATCGTAAACACGTCATCATTGTGTCCAAGTCTTGCTGTGCTGTGAATAATGTGAAGCCAACAACTGAATGAAGTCCAGTACTATTGAGCTAAGAGGAAACTTCAACTTAGGTTACAAGTGACCGACCTGGAAATAATATATATAGTGACTACTTAAATACTGATTTCCCAGTTTTTATGTTGTTGCATTGAAGTACGTCATGGAAGGACCTGCAAGTTACACATTTAAGAAAATAGCCAGACTGGTAGGTAGGTAACAGCTCCTGATATGTGTTTTGGAACAATAAAAATCTTTAGTTTCACAGATTTTCTATTCTGTGGTGCGATACAAAATTAATAAAGTTTATATCATTGTTAACAGTAACTTTACAAAACATTAATGTTACTATATTGTTCTTTTCATAACAGAGATCACATTGTTTTTTAAAAAGCTTTCAAATACTGAAATTTAGATAATGAAAGACCTTTTGATGTCCCTGTGAATATGATGGTTGGTGTGCAGGTATTCAATGCCTCTTGCTGTGCCCACAGCAATAGAACATCTTTTGCTCCAAGGAAGTGGAGGGGTCCCATCCTGCAAGAAAATTAATTTCATTGTTCATAAAAGGATACAACAAAAGTACAGATCTTAGATAAATAAAATCTGTTTAAGGTAGAGTGGTCCAGCTTCAGTCCTGAAGGGTCAGCTTCCAAGTTTCCTAGGTCTCAGAAACACATGAAAAGCTGGGCAAAGTTAACAAAATCAGTCTAATTATGTCAATAATGAGTTCATTTAGGTCAGTAAGAGCTGAAATGGAGTGAAAAGATGTAAAATCACCAAACCACAGGGATTGACGTTAGTTCGAAATGGCTTGGGACAAAACTTGTCAGGTAAGCTTTAGAGAACCTACTAGAACGATTAGAGCTCCTTTGCTAAGGAAAAGAACTGTCATAAAAACATATGTTTGCTACTATACGTTCTCCATCATCTAACCTTGTCCTGAAAACAGCAAAATAATTAACAGATGAAGCATCCTATAAGCACAGTGGTGCAGTGGTTAGCTTTGCTGCCTTGTAGCGCTGGGGACCTAGGATCAAATCCAGATCTGGGGTAGTGTTTGCACAGAGTTTGAATTTTCTCCTCATGTTTACATGGGTTTCCTCCAAAATATACTGGCAGGTAATTGGCCTCTGGGAAAATTGGCCCTGGTGCAATTGTATCTTTGTCTGTGTGTGCTCTGTGATGGATTGGCCGCCACCCAGGGTGTTTTCCACCTTGTGTCCATTGCTTGCCAGAATCGACTCTTGCTCCCCCACAACTCTGATTTGGATGAAGTGTTTAGAAAATGAATGGATGAATGGACAAACCATCTTAAAAGCCTAAAATGGATCAAATTCTTAAAATGTAAAACAAACATCACAAGTATTTTTAAGAGTAACCTAGATTTTAACTCTATTTATTCTGTGATGGTTACATATTTTTCAGTACTGTCCCCTCTATTAAGAATGAACAACTTTAGTCTTTAGTAGAAAAGAATCAAAGAAAGATAATATGTACTGTAACAATACTCACCAGACACGCTAGTCGGTCTAGCAAACTGCCATTAGACATGTAATCAAAGACCAAGCAAGGATGATCTCCATCATAAGAAAACCCAATCATTTCTACAAGGTTCTCATGTTTCAGCCTGAGAAAAAGAAAGGTTATTTTCTAACGGCACAAGGTACAGTACAAAGTACATACTGTATAAACCAGGTGAGTCAGACTCAATTCCTGGAGAAACTAGTGTGTTCTGCTCTAAGTTACATAGTGGGTTTAATTGTTAAATTGCAGAATTGTAGTATTTCTATCTTGGTTCTAAAAGGTTTCATATTGAAGTAATGTATTTTAATATTTTGATTTATCAACTGAAAGCATCTTATATGTATCAAACTAAAATAGTATAATGATATCATATAAAATTATATCATAACATTATTTAAAATAGTATAATGATAATTTAATAAATAATAACAATATACATTTATAGCTTGTATTTAGGTTAATTGTTTAATTAATAACACAGGTTGAAACAAAAACTAGAAGGCTCTAGGCCCTACAGGAATGTAGACTGACACTCTGATATCAGCTATAGAAAACACTACAAAGTGTACATTCAATTTTCATATTCTGGATATGATACGGAGATTTCACAATTACAATAATTAAAGCACAAGGGGAAAGTCTGTTTTTTTTAAACTCCACATTAATTCATTGACATTCCTCAGACTTAAGCAATGTATTTTCATACCGAGTTCCTTAAAATTGACAGCTTAACATCCCATTGTCTGGAAACTTTAAAAGACATTTATTTATATGAAATGCGTAATTGACAAACAAATCCGTAAGACTGCATTATGGATGCTATATATTACTTACAATAGTACAAGTTTGGCCAGGTCATTTATGTGTACTGTATTACATTCAATGAACAGGTTGAAGCTTCACAATTAATCCCTAAAACAGTGTCACTGTCTAATAAATTAGTTATAAGTGATATAATACAAAGATTCATATTCATTATTATTATTATTCATCCATTTGTGGAAAATCATATACACTAAAACAACCCTTCCTTAAAAAATGGCTTCTAAAGAGCCACGTATATCTTATCTTCTTTTCACCACTATGTGTGCAGATTAACATTACTAGAAAGAAGTTTTTAAAAATAACACAACATACATTTTCATAGCTTGTATTTCTTGCTTAAACTGAAGCTTTAGCTCCTCGAGTGAGAGATCAGATATCTAGGAAAGAAACAAATTACCATTAATTTTCAATACTTATAAGACAGACTACAGAAATAAATTATTAGTATTCTACTATTCTAAACTATTAGTCACAGGCAAGCAGCAAGTGTGTCTGCAACTGGAAGCAATGCAAGCAGTACAGTACATCTGTAATGTTCAAAGGGGTTCCAGTCTGGTGAGATAGATATTTACAGTGAAGTGGGACATGTAAATATTATACAGCATACTGCACTGTAGTATTACTAATAACCCATATAGTGGAAGGTATTGCTAGGATCTGTTCATTTAGCCTTCTCCAAAAGTTACATTAAGTCAGAATAAAGCTGACTTGCTTTAGCAGTTCTAGTAACTTACACTACATTTCAAAGGACAGAACCAACACCTATAAACAAGCCATAAAGCAGGACAACAACTCAAGCAAAACAACCACTGTTTCATATCAAAGGAAAAGACGAGAAGTAATTACATATCAAAGAACTGAACAAGTACTCTTTTTGAGAAACTTCTTTCTGAAGCTACAGTATATAGGAGTTGGGCAACCCTTGCAGTTTGTCTGTTCTGCAGGGCAGACCCTGCGTGCCTTGCTGTCCTTCTTGAGTTCAAGAAAAACTGTGTGCTGCCCCCATGATGAAGAATTTCCCACAAAATATGGCATAACTGTTACATTCTCATCCTGCAAGAAAGGCATGCTGTCCAGCAAGAATGTTTGTCACATCATGATGAGCCCACAGGAACAGCAGCTAGTAAGGTCTCAAGACCTATGTAATGTAACTCCATGCAGTCAGGGTGCCATCAGCTGCTTCAAGTGCAGTTCTGTAGCTAACAGACACTTGCGGCCAGACCATCACACTTGGACATGACATACAATGACTCATGGTTTCTCTGATCTTGGCCTATCATTGAAGAACATCTAGCCACGTTAGAAATTGCTCGCCTTTAACAATAAGTGATGGTGCACTGACCTGGTCTAGTCTCCAATATATTGATGGCAGGCATTTTTCTATTGATAAGCAAGGCATAATGGTTTCTTTATGTGTTTCTTGATTTTCACCACGCTTAACATTCAACATCTTTTGAGTCCAGTCCTGTATGTTTTATTGCTAATACAACATTTAAAGTCACTGGAGTACATCACTGTCAGTCATGAATGATAAATTAATCAAACTGTAGTGAAAAACATATAATTAATATCTGAAATCCATGTACTTCATTCTTCTACAACAATATAGCCAGAGTTTATTTTGATGTTCAGTATAGTTGGCCATAAACAACCTCAGCAGTTTAACACTCAGTATATTCTGCCAATACTGATCTTGTGTCTAGAAGGACACTTACCATAGTTAGTTTCTTCACTGCTACCACTTTCTTATCGATGCAAGCTCTGTATACCACTCCAAAACCACCCTCACCAAGCTTATTCCCACCTTCAGATACTGGGCGCTCATCAAAATTACAGGTCAGCTTTCTTAGCTCCTGGAAAGAAAACCTGCTGAAACCTGAAACATACAAAGGTACTCATGAGAGGCAAAGTACAATTCCTAAAAAAAAAAACACATTTAAATTGCTTTGCATTAGGTTCCTGTATCCATTCATCGCAGCTTGTTTTATAGAATGTATGTATCGCTTGCATTCCAGCCTAAGATGGTTTTGTACTTGTAAATATTTCTGTTTGGTAAAATAACTAACATTTCAATCATGTATTTAAACTGTTAGATGCCTAATTAAGTATTTAGAATTTAGAGGAGGTTAAGTGGTACAATCAGCATATGCACTCATTTGGAGCACTGGTCAACATCACTGGTTCTTGACCGGGTTACTACCTGGGAAATGTAACCAGCTGTAATCACAATTTCCCTAAATGGCTGTTTACAACTGACAGACCAACACCAGAACTGGCCAGGGAGTACCAAGCTGGTCATACTCCAGTAACCCACTCAGTGTAGTCAGTGACAGAACATCATTGCTGCAATCATTGCAGGCTCTGCTCTGGGCCTTAAAGTCTTACAGTATAAAGCAAATAAATAAAATGTGATTTGAAATTAAAAATAAAAGATTGGTTCTGTATTTTTCTATTGTGGTATTCTAAAGAATCAATATAATACTGTTTCCAGTAGTGGATGTCACTACATCTTTAACAGACAATCAAGATGAACTATTTGTTTTGCTCCAATCTGCTCCAATTGAATGTTTCAATTCAAAATCTTTCCATTCTCATCTTAAATTTCTATTTGCACACAGCCCAAGAGCTGTAAATGTGTACAAATTCATTCAAATGCAAATGTGTACATAGCCATATTTAAGTAAGCTGCCACTTATTTTCTGTACTGCATTACAAGTAGGGCAGGGCGATATGGCTAAAAACATTATCACGATAAAAAATTTCATATCAGTCGATATCGATAATTATCACGATAAATGTCAAATCATTATTCCTTTCAAGTTTAAAGGCAGATTTTTTCTCCTGAGTGAAAGTCGAAGAAACCAGACAGTTAATTGGTAAATTAAACAACTCTTTATTTTAAGAACACAACAAACACTTGCCAAACAGCAGAAACATTAAACAAATCTGAGGTAGAGAGTATTCAAGTCTTTTTATGTCAAAATAGGCATGAGTAAAATTTACAAAATAAATATCTTAATAGAAAAATTAAATA